CCCCAAAACCCCAAAACCCCAAAACCCCTTAATTTAGCACAAATAATGAAACTTATTAATGACTGAGCTGAAGAGCAGCAAGGCTTGCTTTTCAAGAATGCAATCAAATAAAGTTATTGAAAAGAAACAAAGGTGAGCAGCTGTTTTCACAGTCTTAATTAGGTTTATATAGGGCTAAAAAGAAGATAATCTGGTATAGCAATGATACAGATCAGCAAGAGAACAAGGATAAAAAGATTCCCAAGGTATTGTGTCAAACTTAAACCTATAGGTCATACCTAAAGTTCAGAAGGTAATTCTTGACTTATATTAAAACCATTTGAGATATAATAACCAAGATCCTTATTCATAAGATTTTAATCACTATAGAGACAGATATTCAGTGCAGATAATGAAGAAGCCTTAGAGTCTACGACTCTTAAATCTTCAGATTCGGATAGCTCATCAGAAGATGTTAATTTAAGACGAAGAAGAAGTGATAGCCCAGTAAGACGATTAATCAATGATTCAGACAAAAGTAATCTCGGATCTCAACATTCATCTCAATGCCAAAATTCTGAGAGTAAATCGAGTAAACTACTCTCAAATATTGAAGGTATTTGTAGCAGGACCAATAGTCTACAAATCAGGTTTTCAAAAAGTATGGATTCGCTTAAATATCTCCCTAACCGTGTGAGAGCTATGAAATCCGAAAATCACAACCAGTTTATGCAGAACAATAGGATTCTTAAAAAACTTGAGAGTAAGCTACCTACCATTTTCCCCACTCTACCCTACTCTACTACTCCTACAACTTCCATTACCCTTCATTTATCTCCAACCCGCTTGAAAATTTTTGTTCTGAGCTCTTAACTCATCCTAACTTTTACTCACCTCAAAAATTTTTAAAATGCTAAATTTTAACGCTTAGCACTTATAGAAGACCTAAGAGACCTCTCCTCACGAGTGAAGAGAATTGAGAAGAAAGTCAGCATGAGCCATTCTGTTCTGGAACAGAGGGAGATAGTGAAGAAGAGGGAGAAGAAGTGGGCAGGGAGAAGGAAGGAATGGGGGGACCAGGAGTGACAGTGGGGAGATATGACCCAGAAGGAGGTAGGGAGGGATGGAGGGTTGGTAGATACAGATGCCATTAAAGGTAAGTATTCGGCTCTGATTTGTGTTTATCATTTCTTTAGCCGGAAACACTCAAATATCTGTGGCAAAGAGGACTAGAGGCAGGAAAAAGGGCAAAAAGGTCACTAAAAGTCCAAAGAAAGAGCAAAAACCAAAAGAAAACTCAAACAAAAGAATCCCGAGTCCTCCTAAGAAATCAGGGTAAGGTTTAATTTAAATTTCCAGTAGGAAGAATCACAAAAGAAAAGCTCCAAAGTCCAAAAGACAAAAGACAAGAGAGGTATGTTTTCATTCTCCAAATTCCAATATAGAGCCAGACCAGTTACGTTCCTCGCACAAATCTCAAAAAATCTCCGAACAAAGTTTGAAAGAAAAGATCAAAAATTAATTAATTTTTAATTTTGGGCGGATTTCAAGGATTTTTTAATTTTTTGGGGTTTTGGGGTTTTGGGGTTTTGGGGTTTTGGGG